ATGAGGTTTATGTGGTATTACCTTGCGTCTGGTAGCAACTGGTTAATACCTGAAGAGTCCCAGACTCTACATCAGCAGTAGAAGAGTCCCAGAGAGTCTACATCAGCAGTAGAAGAGTCCCAAACTCTACATCAGCAGTAGAAGTCCCAGACTCTACATCAGCAGTAGAAGAGTCCCAGACTCTACATCAGCAGTAGAAGTCCCAGACTCTACATCAGCAGTAGAAGTCCCAGACTCTACATCAGCAGTAGAAGAGTCCCAGACTCTACATCAGCAGTAGAAGAGTCCCAGACTCTACATCAGCAGTAGAAGTCCCAGACTCTACATCAGCAGTAGAAGAGTCCCAGACTCTACATCAGCAGTAGAAGTCCCAGACTCTACATCAGCAGTAGAAGAGTCCCAGACTCTACATCAGCAGTAGAAGAGTCCCAGACTCTACATCAGCAGTAGAAGTCCCAGACTCTACATCAGCAGTAGAAGAGTCCCAGACTCTACATCAGCAGTAGAAGTCCCAGACTCTACATCAGCAGTAGAAGAGTCCCAGACTCTACATCAGCAGTAGGAGTCCCAGACTCTACATCAGCAGTAGAAGAGTCCCAGACTCTACATCAGCAGTAGAAGTCCCAGACTCTACATCAGCAGTAGAAGAGTCCCAGACTCTACATCAGCAGTAGAAGAGTCCCAGAGAGTCTACATCAACAGTAGAAGAGTCCCAGACTCTACATCAGCAGTAGAAGAGTCCCAGACTCTACATCAGCAGTAGAAGAGTCCCAGACTCTACATCAGCAGTAGAAGAGTCCCAGACTCTACATCAGCAGTAGAAGAGTCCCAGAGAGTCTACGTCAGCAGTAGAAGAGTCCCAGACTCTACATCAGCAGTAGAAGAGTCCCAGAGAGTCTACATCAACAGTAGAAGAGTCCCAGACTCTACATCAGCAGTAGAAGAGCCCCAGAGTCTACATCAGCAGTAGAAGAGTCCCAGAGAGTCTACATCAGCAGTAGAAGTCCCAGAGAGTCTACATCAACAGTAGAAGAGTCCCAGAGAGTCTACATCAGCAGTAAAAGTCCCAGAGAGTCTACATCAACAGTAGAAGAGTCCCAGAGAGTCTACATCAGCAGTAGAAGAGTCCCAGAGTCTACATCAGCAGTAGAAGTCCCAGAGTCTACATCAGCAGTAGAACAGTCCCAGAGTCTACATCAACAGTAGAAGAGTCCCAGAGTCTACATCAGCAGTAGAAGAGTCCCAGAGAGTCTACATCAGCAGTAGAAGTTCCAGAGAGTCTACATCAACAGTAGAAGAGTCCCAGAGAGTCTACATCAGCAGTAGAAGTCCCAGAGAGTCTACATCAACAGTAGAAGAGTCCCAGAGAGTCTACATCAGCAGTAGAAGTCCCAGAGAGTCTACATCAGCAGTAGAAGAGTCCCAGAGAGTCTACATCAGCAGTAGAAGTCCCAGAGAGTCTACATCAGCAGTAGAAGTCCCAGAGAGTCTACATCAGCAGTAGAAGTCCCAGAGTCTACATCAGCAGTAGAAGAGTCCCAGAGTCTACATCAGCAGTAGAAGAGTCCCAGAGAGTCTACATCAGCAGTAGAAGAGTCACAGAGAGTCTACATCAGCAGTAGAAGTCCCAGAGTCTACATCAGCAGTAGAACAGTCCCAGAGTCTACATCAACAGTAGAAGAGTCCCAGAGTCTACATCAGCAGTAGAAGAGTCCCAGAGAGTCTACATCAGCAGTAGAAGTTCCAGAGAGTCTACATCAACAGTAGAAGAGTCCCAGAGAGTCTACATCAGCAGTAGAAGTCCCAGAGAGTCTACATCAACAGTAGAAGAGTCCCAGAGAGTCTACATCAGCAGTAGAAGTCCCAGAGAGTCTACATCAGCAGTAGAAGAGTCCCAGAGAGTCTACATCAGCAGTAGAAGTCCCAGAGAGTCTACATCAGCAGTAGAAGTCCCAGAGAGTCTACATCAGCAGTAGAAGTCCCAGAGTCTACATCAGCAGTAGAAGAGTCCCAGAGTCTACATCAGCAGTAGAAGAGTCCCAGAGAGTCTACATCAGCAGTAGAAGAGTCACAGAGAGTCTACATCAGCAGTAGAAGTCCCAGAGAGTCTACATCAACAGTAGAAGAGTCCCAGAGAGTCTGCATCAGCAGTAGAAGTCCCAGAGAGTCTACATCAGCAGTAGAAGAGTCCCAGAGAGTCTACATCAGCAGTAGAAGTCCCAGAGAGTCTACATCAGCAGTAGAAGTCCCAGAGAGTCTACATCAGCAGTAGAAGTCCTAGAGTCTACATCAGCAGTAGAAGAGTCCCAGAGTCTACATCAGCATGGATGGGAGCCGGTCGGCCGAGCGGACAGCACGTGGGACTTGTGATCCTGTGGTCCTGGGTTCGATCCCAGGCGCCGGCGAGAAACAATGGGCAGAGTTTCTTTCACCCTATGCCCCTGTTACCTAGCAGTAAAATAGGTACCTGGGTGTTAGTCAGCTGTCACGGGCTGCTTCCTGGGGGTGGAGGCCTGGTCGAGGACCGGGCCGCGGGGACACTAAAAAGCCCCGAAATCATCTCAAGATAACCTCAAGATAGCAGTAGAAGAGTCCCAGAGAGTCTACATCAGCAGTAGAAGAGTCACAGAGAGTCTACATCAGCAGTAGAAGCATCAGAGAGTGTCTAGAGCAGCAGTAGCAGCGTTGAACACAGCTAACAACAGCAGTACACAGATCCCATGGCAGCAGTACAAGAAACTTACAGAAAAATTATCAGCGCTGGTAAGAGCCTTTAGCAGCAAGAGCTGAGGTTCCAAAGTGGTCCACACTAGCATTCCTGGTTGATACCTGGTTGATGGGGTTCTGGGAGTTCTTCTACTCCCCAAGCCCGGCCCGAGGCCAGGCTTGACTTGTGAGAGTTTGGTCCACCAGGCTGTTGCTTGGAGCGGCCCGCAGGCCCACATACCCACCACAGCCCGGTTGGTCCGGCACTCCTTGGAGGAATAAATCTAGTTTCCTCTTGAAGATGTCCACGGTTGTTCCGGCAATATTTCTTATGCTTGCTGGGAGGACGTTGAACAACCGCGGACCTCTGATGTTTATACAGTGTTCTCTGATTGTGCCTATGGCACCTCTGCTCTTCACTGGTTCTATTCTACATTTTTCATGGATATTCATGGAGTATCCCTCCACTCTTCCTCCTGTGGATGGAGTCTGCCTCCACTCTTCCTCCTGTGGATGGAGTCTGCCTCCACTCTTCCTCCTGTGGATGGAGTCTGCCTCCACTCTTCCTCCTGTGGATGGAGTATCCCTCCACTCTTCCTCCTGTGGATGGAGTATCCCTCCACTCTTCCTCCTGTGGATGGAGTCTGCCTCCACTCTTCCTCCTGTGGATGGAGTCTGCCTCCACTCTTCCTCCTGTGGATGGAGTCTGCCTCCACTCTTCCTCCTGTGGATGGAGTCTGCCTCCACTCTTCCTCCTGTGGATGGAGTCTGCCTCCACTCTTCCTCCTGTGGATGGAGTCTGCCTCCACTCTTCCTCCTGTGGATGGAGTCTGCCTCCACTCTTCCTCCTGTGGATGGAGTATCCCTCCACTGCTTCCTCCTCCAATTCCTCTCGGTTATTTACACCTATACTGAAGAACAACTGTGTGATGTGACGGGTTGCTACGTGAGACTGGTAGAGCCGCCAGGACCCGGGGCAGGCGACCCACACCTGCCTCTTGTTCCACCTCAGTCACGTTAGCATAAACATCTTGGTGGTGTGTGTTGACTTCGTGTTCCTGCCCTCCACACGCCTCTCACACGCCTCTCACACGCCTCACACACCCCTCCCATTCTCCCTCCCACTCTCCCTCCCACTCTCCCTCCCACTCTCCCTCCCACTCTCCCTCCCACTCTCCCTCCCACTCTCCCTCCCACTCTCCCTCCCACTCTCCCTCCCACTCTCCCTCCCACTCTCCCTCACACTCTCCCTCCCACTCTCCCTCACACTCTCCCTCCCACTCTCCCTCCCACTCTCCCTCCCACTCTCCCTCCCACTCTCCCTCCCACTCTCTCACCTCACTCATACTAACATGCAAACTGGTATACGATTTGTTTTTATATTGAAATATACACAAACTACCACACATGCCCTTTTCTGTTTGTAAATGGTATGTACTTACTTGCGTGTGTGTGTGTATAGAAGGGGTCGAGATGAAGCTCCTGGGCACCAATTTTATGTAATTTGTTGTTTTATTTGTAATCTAAGAAACGTTGAGTGAAGTTGAGTTCTACTCTTGGTCCCCGCCTGCATGGGCACTACACCTTGCTTCCCTCTTGTCTCACATTCCTCCCCCACTTGTGGCTTCTCCTCTCTCCCATGCTAAACACTTGTGGCTTCTCCTCTCACCCATGCTAAACACTTGTGGCTTCTCCTCTCTCCCATGCTAAACACCTGTGGCTTCTCCTCTCACCCATGCTAAACACTTGTGGCTTCTCCTCTCACCCATGCTAAACACTTGTGGCTTCTCCTCTCACCCATGCTAAACACCTGTGGCTTCTCCTCTCACCCATGCTAAACACTTGTGGCTTCTCCTCTCACCCATGCTAAACACCTGTGGCCACTCCTCTCACCCATGCTAAACACCTGTGGCCTCTCCTCTCACCCATGCTAAACACCTGTGGCTTCTCCTCCCACCCATGCTAAACACCTGTGGCCACTCCTCTCACCCATGCTAAACACCTGTGGCTTCTCGTCTCTCCCATGCTAAACACTTGTGGCTTCTCCTCTCTCCCATGCTAAACACCTGTGGCTTCTCCTCTCTCCCATGCTAAACACCTGTGGCCTCTCCTCCCACCCATGCTAAACACCTGTGGCCTCTCCTCCCACCCATGCTAAACACCTGTGGCTTCTCCTCTCACCCATGCTAAACACCTGTGGCCTCTCCTCTCACCCATGCTAAACACCTGTGGCTTCTCCTCCCACCCATGCTAAACACCTGTGGCTTCTCCCACCCATGCTAAACACCTGTGGCCACTCCTCTCACCCATGCTAAACACCTGTGGCTTCTCCTCCCACCCATGCTAAACACTTGTGGCTTCTCCTCTCACCCATGCTAAACACCTGTGGATTCTCCTCTAACCCATGCTAAACACCTGTGGCTTCTCCTCTCACCCATGCTAAACACCTGTGGCTTCTCCTCTCACCCATGCTAAACACCTGTGGCTTCTCCTCTCATCCATGCTAAACACTTGTGGCTTCTCCTCTCACCCATGCTAAACACCTGTGGCTTCTCCTCTCACCCATGCTAAACACCTGTGGCTTCTCCTCTCACCCATGCTAAACACCTGTGGCTTCTCCTTCCACCCATGCTAAACACCTGTGGCTTCTCCTCCCACCCATGCTAAACACCTGTGGCCACTCCTCTCACCCATGCTAAACACCTGTGGCTTCTCCTCCCACCCATGCTAAACACTTGTGGCTTCTCCTCTCACCCATGCTAAACACCTGTGGCTTCTCCTCTCACCCATGCTAAACACCTGTGGCTTCTCCTCTCACCCATGCTAAACACCTGTGGCTTCTCCTCTCACCCATGCTAAACACCTGTGGCTTCTCCTCTCACCCATGCTAAACACTTGTGGCTTCTCCTCTCACCCATGCTAAACACTTGTGGCTTCTCCTCTCACCTATGCTAAACACCTGTGGCTTCTCTCACCCATGCTAAACACCTGTGGCTTCTCCTCTCACCCATGCTAAACACCTGTGACTTCTCCTCTCACCCATACTAAACACCTGTGGTTTCTCCTCTCACCCATGCTAAACACTTGTGGCTTCTCTTCTCACCCATGCTAAACACTTGTGGCTTCTCCTCTCACCCATGCTAAACACCTGTGGCTTCTCCTCTCAACCATGCTAAACACCTGTGGCTTCTCCTCTCACCCATGCTAAACACTTGTGGCTTCTCCTCTCACCCATGCTAAACACTTGTGGCTTCTCCTCTCACCCATGCTAAACACCTGTGGCTTCTCCTCTCACCCATGCTAAACACTTGTGGCTTCTACTCTCACCCATGCTAAACACTTGTGGCTTCTCCTCTCACCCATGCTAAACACCTGTGGCTTCTCCTCCCACCCATGCTAAACACCTGTGGCTTCTCCTCTCACCCATGCTAAACACTTGTGGCTTCTCCTCTCACCCATGCTAAACACTTGTGGCTTCTCCTCTCACCCATGCTAAACACCTGTGGCCACTCCTCTCACCCATGCTAAACACCTGTGGCCTCTCCTCTCACCCATGCTAAACACCTGTGGCTTCTCCTCCCACCCATGCTAAACACCTGTGGCCACTCCTCTCACCCATGCTAAACACCTGTGGCCTCTCCTCTCACCCATGCTAAACACCTGTGGCTTCTCCTCTCACCCATGCTAAACACCTGTGGCTTCTCCTCTCACCCATGCTAAACACCTGTGGCTTCTCCTCTCACCCATGCTAAACACGTGTGGCTTCTCCTCTCACCCATGCTAAACACCTGTGTCTTCTCCTCTCACCCATGCTAAACACCTGTGGCTTCTCCTCTCACCCATGCTAAACACCTGTGGCCTCTCCTCTCACCCATGCTAAACACCTGTGGCTTCTCCTCTCACCCATGCTAAACACCTGTGGCTTCTCTCACCCATGCTAAACACCTGTGGCCTCTCTTCTCACCCATGCTAAACACCTGTGGCTTCTTTTCTCACCCATGCTAAACACCTGTGACTTCTCCTCTCACCCATGCTAAACACCTGTGGCCTCTCCTCTCACCCATGCTAAACACCTGTGGCCTCTCCTCTCACCTTATGCTAAACACCTGTGGCTTCTCCTCTCACCCATGCTAAACACCTGTGGCTTCTCCTCTCACCCATGCTAAACACCTGTGGCCTCTCCTCTCACCCATGCTAAACACCTGTGGCTTCTCCTCTCACCCATGCTAAACACCTGTGGCCTCTCCTCCCACCCATGCTAAACACCTGT